ACCGGACAGAGAAAGAGTGAAAAGTTCTCGTCCAATTCTTCATTTTAACGTAAATCCCATTATATCTATCTTGATCCACATTTTCAATTGTATTGTGCTGTTATAATAACTCTTAGAATTATATACTTTATGGTTTTTCATACGCATGCACTTTTTTATGCCTGAGTTGTTAGTAAGACCACCTCACAATTTTTCCGAGAACATGGTAATTTTTGGAGAAAGTAACCTTAAATAGACTTCAAGATATTTGCATAGTACAGTTTAATTTTTTCCGGTATTTCTCACTTTTTTGAAGAAAAATATTCCACTGTTTCAGTGTCGGTGTAAAGATACACGTTACCTCGATGCTTCTGTTAGAATGTTGTGATAATGCATGTATTTAAACAAGTGTTAAATTATACTGCAATTTAAGTAATATGGGATTTTAGTATAATTTCAGAGCTGAGCAAAGAGTTTCCAACAATCTGATTGGTCGAGCGGTTCCTTATATGACGCTATATAAACCGCTCTACGCGGTTTATATAAAATGTTAAAATAAAATGTTAATAAATGTTACTAAAATGTTATGATTTAAGAAATTTCTCTGTTGTTCAGCTCTGAAAGTATACTAAAACAATTATTCGCCGAACCTGAGGCGAATAATTGTTAAATATTGATTTTACTTTACCTCGCTCTGTGATTGGTTCAAAAACTCGCACCACTCTTGGTCGCCTACGTTTTCCCGCGCTTTAAGCGGTTTGGTTGCTTTTGAGTTCTCATTGGCTCTTAAAGGTATTACCTTTTCTTTTAATTGGTTATTGTGATTACGACTCAACAGAAAAGAGCTCTATCCACCTTCTGGTTGACGGATTCTTCCTTAAGACTACAACTACTTGAGACTGCTGCTGTATCCAAACAAAATCGGATATTTTCTTTAAAATGTGCTAATTTTGAACTGGTAAAGACTTGCATAACAGATGACATCTACAAAAAAAAAAAACGCAAGACTCTTTGCTGCATCAACCAAATTAAATAGTTCAGCATACTGCTTCAGTCCAGAGCAGTTGCTGTTATCATAATGAGCAGCATTGTAAATTTCTGGACAATCTAAGTAAAATTGAGGATCTTATCCAAATTATTCTTTGTTTTTGTCATGTACCTAGTCAGTTTTCTTGACAATGTTCACCAAACGAAAGTTTCATACGAAAAAAACCTGCGACTTTACGGAACTTTTCAAGTGCAAGCAATGAAAACATTTGAAGGTGATATATTTCTGAAGACTGGGCATTCTGGCGACCTCTTATCCCTTCAGATAGTATGTCATCGTTTCTCCAAGTCCCTATCATAAAAATTAGAAAAAGTTAGCCTTGTAAACTGACGGCCAGAGTTCTCCACGAAAACCATGAAAATAGAAGAAATTAGACAAGGAAACAAGCAACACGGGAAACGATAAACTAGCATGGTAAAAAAAAAAAAAGGGGGCTTGGTGCGCCATTTGGTTTGCTACCAATAGTAAGTCATTTAGCTAGTCAATCGCTGTAAGCAGTCAGTAAGATGTTAAGGTTACGTCAGCAAGCTGGAATTTGAAGAGAAACACATACTCGTTACTATTTCACAACTGATTACTGTAATGTGTACTTGCCTTCCATTCATATCTCTCTTTTTAGTCCAAGCATTTAAATATTCTCTGCAAATATGTTTGCGATGCGCAAGTGAACGAAAGGTAAGGATTGGTGAATGAGAATAAACGATTGCACTATCAGTCTGAACTAGGTTTAGATAAAAACAAACTTACCTCTCTTAAATGGCTATCCTATTTTATCGTATGATTTCTCTGGGCTGATTTCGGGCCGTTTAGCTCTCCACCGAAAGAAAAACGCTGTAAATTCGCTGCGATCATCCCGAAATTCCATATACATCACAGAGGATGATGGTCATTAAGACTGGTGTTGCTTATGTGGGGTTCATGTACAATGAACTGGAAGTAAAGGCCGCCAATTTTTGTCAAAAGGTTCACTGAGAGAGTCTTCGGATGAGGCGTTACCTGGTGATATCGCGGTACTCAAATTGTCGGAGCTTCCAAGCCAAGGTTTATTGAACGAGAACAGTTGAAGACTCAGGTCGCTTCTATTTGTCGGGCCGTTGGAGTTGTCACTTCTATTCCTGGAAACACGTATTTAAATTGTATCGCACAGAAAGCTTTGAGGCGACGGAGACTTCAGGAATCTCTAGTTTGTCTAACTCCCCACCATGATGTATTTTCCGAGCTGTCGCTTTCGAGTAGTTCGTTGTGACCTGTTCGCTACCGTGTCATCGTGTATTCACGCTGATTTGTTTTGTTTTGTTTTGTTTATTTGGCTTGTTTGTTCACTTTATTAGCTTTCTCACCACCGTTTCGAGCGAAGAAAACTAGATTCCAAAAGTAGGAACACTTTCCTACTTTTCAATGTTTCCAAATCTAATCTAAAGCACAACTATTGTTGGGTATTTTTGTGGCTAAAATCATGTTCTTAGTTGTAAAGTAGATGCGAATAGATTTGTAAAGCTCTAATACACCTCATCTTCCTTCTCTTCTTCTTCTACAACAANNAGACAGAACGACAGGAGAAACAACAAACGGACAGAGAGACAAGGGGCACACATATTATAGGAGGCAAACTGGTCCGCTTTGAGCAATTTCGTCAGATCCTTTCCCGAAGCTATTCAAATGGAATTTAACGTTACCTTGTAAACATCATATCGTGTCATCACTGTGTCATACAAAGAGTGCAGGTCGTTAAGGAGAGTTATCACCTACATGAGAAAAGTCAATCAAATCATCGATCTCAACTAGGCAACAGGTACGCGCTGTTGGCTTTCTTCCAGTCACCACCACCCCAAAGATCGAGTTATGAGAGTCCTAAGGTACGGTCCTCCTTCGACCCGTATCTCAGCCGCCGACAAAATCAGTCGGCAAGTTGGTGATGTTAGGAGCAAATTTGAATTGTGCATCTTCACTAATACAGGATAACATTTCTTTTACTTCGCTCTGCTAAGGCCATGTAGGAAACTTGCGTAACCTTCTTGCCAATCAGCAATGATGTGCAAAACTTGGTCAAGGGTGGTTTCTCTCTTAATGAGCATTTTTTTTTTTATTATGCTTTGAGTTCTGTACGGCTCGTTTTGTGCTTGTAATTGCTTTGGTCTGCATTCGCGACATTCAATCGTAGTGCGTCAATGGTTTCCAAGAATCTCGCATCAATTGATTTATTTCGGAAAGCTTGTCATTTAGGCAGAAAAATTGACCGAGTGGGTTGTGTTAAAGTTAAGTACTCCGTCAATTTTTCTTTTTTATTGATGTGCTGTTTGGGTCGTTTTGATTTCGAATTTTATCTTAAGGTTATTTTAAGACTAATCTCGATCTGTTTCATGTCTCTGTAATCATCAGTTTTTCAAGTGTTTATTCCCTTAAAAGTTGTGGCCCATTAATCCGCGTTATGTTGATATTTTAGCAATGTTTTCTGATACCGGAGGTTCTCTCTGCTTTTAAGCCTTTTTTACGTTAACTTTGTCTATTATACGATC